GTTTGTTTCATAATTTAAACAAATTCGAAGCATTGTTTTCCAGAAATCGATTTAACCTAGGCAACAGTTACGAAATAGGCATTATATTTGGCGTCATACATGTGGTGACCTTTTATTTAACTGCTAACGGTCATTGCAGTTGTTTATAAAGCTAAGAGTTCTTTGAGAAAACCACACAGCATGGGCATGCTGCGACAGGGGTGGAGGAGTTGTGCTGCGTCTGTGATTGTGGTGACAGAACACCTCGTCAAGCGTGATGAAGGCTGTACAGCATGGGTATATGAGTCAATCATTTGGTGAGGTCAGGTGACGGTAGAATGAATGGGCTTATTCCCTTCACTGACACCAACAGTTTCAGGTGGCCCACGTGGTTCGACTACTAACGTACTTCTGCTTTTAACCGTGATGGTACCGTGGCTTCTAATTAGCGTGGGTGATGCTCTGTCGACGCTCAAATTACAAACTTCAATGCAGCCCTTGGATCCATCAAGTAGCCTGTGTCTATCAGACATTTCATAATGGCATTTCTCCGTAATCTATTTCCTCCTCTCAGCAGTCATTTGGACAGGTTAGGCTGACCGAGTTGCTAACTGGCCCTGCCTGCATTTACATGGTGCCTTACACGAGTGAAGAGAGCTCTGACATGACTTTCATTGCAACCAGTTTGGTGTCTGTTTTTTTACAGGCGGTTCATAGATGGAAGAGAGGCGGGCGAGGAGGCTAATGAAATAGACCTACGCGCAGAAATTTGCCAAATTCTTCACAATTACATAGGCGTTTTCCATACTCTCAAAATAGGTACAAGCTAAAAGCCCAGAAACATGCAGCACCGATGGTTCTTTTGCTGTATGGTTCAATAAATCATATACACTTATAGTGGGCTCTTGAGGTGATGCAAACCTCATTTTGGACAAAGGTCCCACTGAGGTGACCCAATCTTCCTACAATTTCTATGGGAATTTTAATTTCTCTTGGATCAAATTCCGTGCGAAGCACGACGGAGGTTTCATGCCAAGTTAGCCATTATGCCCAGCTGGCCTTCCTTGATGTCCTGGTCGGCCGCGAAGATTGGAGTGACCCAAAGACCAAAGTGTTCAGTAAAGCGACAAACACGATGCAAATACTGAACTTCAACACCAACCACCCAATCCGTCACAAAATCAGTTGCGTAAGGACGCTTTATCGGCGTGGTGAGAAGCACTGCAGTGAACCAGAAGACAAAGTTGCCGAAAACAGTACCTTTGACAACTTCGTCAACCGGTGCATGCTCAAACGAGGTGAGCACCAAAGTTGCAGCGGCCCTACATTTTGGCGATCGATCCCGTACGTCAAAAATGTCTCGGAGGCCATCGGTCGCCTTCTCGCACTACGTGGGTCCCTAGTAATGTAAGCAGTAATGCTGTGGTTAATTGGTTTTATGTGCTTACCTATCCACTGGACAAGTGTGAGGTTTTCATGAATAAAGTACGTTGTAACAGTACTCCTGCTTTATAAAGTTTCAGCAGATCGTATAGTCTGGAAATATGCGAGCTCAGGTTTGAAGCCTTGTCTGTTGATTTTCGTTTAGCAATTCAACTTTCATCCGTACGATTTTCCAAATGCCTTCTGTTATCTTTCTCCTGCGAGATTGTCAGGAAACTTTGCTGTGGCCACTCTGCACTGTCTTTATCTTACTTAATAAATTTTACTTGGAATCAAGACAAGACTCTATTTGTTAGGTCTTTGGATGCCAAAATTTTCTGCCTTACGTAGTTTATTTTAAAAGAGAAGAGGTGCTGCTTGGTCCGCGATAGGCGCTGAGTAATTGGGGCTTTCTGTATTGATAGAAATTAGCAACAGATAAAGATCTAAGCCATTTCACATATTTCTGTAGTCAGCGTGTTCCCAGTGTTATGATTCCTCGAAATTTGTTCCAATTACCGTCGGATCTAGTCACCTCTTCGGTACACAGACTTCGGACCCTAAGACAAGGATTTCAGCCTGCATACTACTCAGTATCGAATCCGACATGCTAACATTGTGAAGTTCTAATGCCCGTAAACAGTTGACTCAGAGGTCACGGAGCTTGTAATTCCATTAAAGTTCACCTGTTTTGCCACGTTGGCATTTCTTTGACAGTTTGTTTTACTAAAGGCTAAGTTACCATTGATTTTCAGAATATTATGCACTAAATCCACTGCACGTCAGTGCGGTTCAGTTATTGCTTCTGAATTATTCAGCACCTGGGAAGTGCTTACCAAACAGAAGTGTGGGGTGGAGGATTTGCCAGACTTGATTAATTCATTTGATCCACTTGTGAAAAACTCGGTGACCTCGGTGAGATTTAAACCCACGCCAGCAAGGGGTAAGGCTTTAGTACAGCCAGCGCTCTAGCCACATGGACAACGAGGACCGCACCGGGAGCAGTGAGCTTAATCACACGTGGGTCAATTAACCCGACCAGCCTATTACAACGTATGGAATCCAGCAATTACGATACAGCAAGCTGAATGCCCAAGCGGGGTTTCCTAAACAATTCATCCAGAGTACGCCATGCACACTTAATTAGAAGTGCGGTTTTGCAGATTTAAATAATTCATTTATGAAAATTTCGACTGTCTCGATTGGATTCGAATCCACGCAGGAAAGGGAAATGCCCTAGTACAGCCAACGCTCTAGCCAAAACTGATGCTTTTAACCGACCATCTGGCAGTAGTTAAGAAGTCCTGGATTTTCAAGAAAACACATTTTAAATTGTCTGCAAAGCGCGCCATTCTAAGTTTGCATAATTATTTATCCATTCGTTTCGGAGGCAGGCAGGTGCAAACCTCTGCCGTTACTAATAGCCCTGCCATTATTGCTCCTCTCTCCGACAGTCTTTGTTGTGGTTGCATAACCTGCCCCAGATGGGTGCGTTTTTTCACTTTTAATCAGTCTGATGCCGGTGAGCGTCATACGAGGACGCAGACCCAACATTTTACCTGCAACGTTTGCACCCGTAAATGTGTTGTTTTATTCTGCTTGCCTTCGTCACCGACATTTGCGATTTGCGAGCTGTTGCACGCTATGTTGGTGCCTGACTTGAAGATCTAGCCACGGGCTGTAAGAATCGTAGGTTCACATGTAAGTCTACGGGCTACTGTGTATTGTTACTGTAGGTAGGAGCCACGTAGTCCGCGTGAGTCCTGTTGTTCTCACTGGATCCTGACTAAAAATTATTTCATTTTCGTAATTGAAGGTGTTTTCCATCCCTTTCTACATTAAGAAGCCTTAAAGTTTTCCGCGATCACTCTTACCGGTTCCTGTTCGTTTAATTCTTTCGGCAACTTTACCTCGTCTTTGTCAACGTACGCGTAGTCACCCAAACTCCAAGCGTCCGCCCCATAAAGCAGATGGTTCGTAAATTGTATCCATCTGTGGCAGATTGTTACAATTAGTGGGTGTACCACCCCTCCAGTTGATTACAGCTGCCGAGAGGCTGCACCGAAAACCAGTTGTCGTTGCTGGTAGCTCGTCAATTTCGAACCGCTAATTTTTCCGTTTTTTGAAACTGCTTGTCGCGACTGAGTTACCTGAAAAAGCTGCTAGGATATCCATGAATTAAGCTGATTGGGCTTCTTCAGTTCATTTGTCCCTTGCTGCGTTTCATTTGCTAGCCAGCTGATGTAAACTGTGAGGCAGTCTAAATTTTGCAAATGGCTATAGCCTTCTTTGAGAAATGCCGAGTTGTTGTTGGCTTTTAGCATTGCTGGCGTCTTCTCTGCACCCACCCATTCTCACCGCGACAACCTTTTTTTCTGCACTGCCGTACATTCACGGTGACAGAGGCCTTAGAATGAAAATAGAGAGGTCGAGGGTTCAGCACACTTTCTTCATCATAAGCAATTTGGCACACTTGAAGCTATCACACCATGCTAAAAATCATGGCTAGGAAGGTTGTCAACTGACGAGATAACGGGGACCGTGCGGTCAGCCCAGTGTGCTTTGTGTTTTGTGGAGTGACTGGCTGGCTGGCGGACGGAGAGTCAGGCTGCAATGGCTCGTTCGTAATATGGCCTTTATGGCACCCCCACTCCATAGAATCCGAGGCACGTTTAACGGCACGCTTAGGGGCGGCTCCGCCTACGGTTTTCTTGCTTTTTTTGACACCACAGACAGGTGAGTATAGGAAAAGGCGCGGTGGATGTTTCGCAAGTGCCCTACCATTTAAAACTAATCTACGCGTAAGTCATCGCGATATTCTTCAGCTTGTGGTGGACATCCTCAAAGTCGACACTCCAAATACGATACTACGGATCAACGGAATTTCAAAGATGCTTAGGATGCTCCAAATGGATATATGACGAACAAGCTAATTCGTAAAAGTCTTCTGGAAAGAGGCCATGACGCACGTTTATGCCTGTTATTGTTATTATTATTTATTATCTGTGTAATAAGCCTGGAAAGAGCACACATTCGATATATTCCGGCCCTAATTGTGGTTGGGCCCATTGCGTGTACAGTAGCTCCAAAGCTATCTGATGGATTTTACAAGTCTTCAGGGCCTCCTTTTTATAGCAATGCTTGCTGAGGAAAAGAAGATTTTAATATATCGACATTAATAGCAGCGGAACACCAAGGGATTATGTGCGGCCACGTAGATAGTCTCATCATTGCGAGCGATCAAATCCGCCATTTGCCCAACAGTTCATTGCTGACTTTCACTTAAATTCCTTAATACTAAGGCAGTTAGCTCACTTAAAACGCTGTCTCACACAAGCCACGATGTGCTCGATCCTTAAATATGAAGAGATAGTTTAAAGGCTGCATCTATAATTGTCATACAGAGCGTGGTCTTCGGTTTTGAAGGGTAGAAATATCTTGTATTTCAAACTACAGCGGTTCGCGCATCGTGACTAATTTAAGCGCATCGTGAGATATGCACGAAATTATTATGAATGTTATTTGATATCAGTTACATAAAGTTGATACGGATTCTAAAAAATGCAACGTTAGGGAATGCGCAAGCTGTCGAGGAACAGAGACATTACAAAAACAAAATTATGTCATAGCTCATTATGGAGATGTACACTGCTAGTAACATAAAACGTTGGCGGAAATGATCTTTCAGGTCCCTTGTATCCTATGTGAAGAAAATAATATGCATGCATCTCCGGTCTCCTGAAGCTTGAGCAACTGGTCTGAAGGTTGCCCACTACCAAAGATGAACAAGGCACCAATGTATACAGAGAATCCTACCCCGCGAGCAATGCAGAAGGCCAATTCAAATTCCACAAACTGGTGTTCTAGGCTGTTCTAGTATAGGACGAGCACCCTCGATTGCGTCTCTATTAAGATGTTTGGTGTTAGCTTTGAGGGAATCGAGAGCTTAGGCTAACAATCTGGTTCATAATCAAAGAGCCAATCGAATGAGCATTTCGACCTCTATGCCTGCCAGGTGTCACATTCTTACTGGCTTGGCGGGCCCCAAAATAATCAACCATTGATCTAAACACTAGCAGTCACAAAAATGGACTCAGTTAGAACTCTTTTTGACTATAGCAGCGGTTGAAAAATACGTCCACAGACGTACTCATCCAGCGTCCAAATACGACCTCCAATAGTAAAGTGAGTAAATTAGCGGCGCTGTCTGGCTGATATCTCGGATAGCAGCAATAGGTATGATAAAACCTCATCCTATAAACAAAAAATAATCTTCTTAAACCCTAAGGTAAAAAAACAGACTAAAATAACCGAGGAGTCGAATAGAAAATAGGTCTCAGTGGCAGCTTGCAACTCCTAAAAAGTCCATTTGATTTTTCATATTTTTAGGGGATGCCGCATCACTCGAAAAAGCGGAAGTAGCAAAGCGTAATCTGCGTCAAGAAGAAGCTAGACTAAAACAGTCTACGGACGCTTTCATGCAAGTTGAGGTAAATTAATTGTCCACCTTTTTACTTACTGTTGCATACTACGAACTTCAAGAAGCCAGGTGTCAACAATGCAGAATATGTTATAAGCAGAATGTCTTCTCGTGAGGCTTTTAAAGCAGGCACTAGTCACAAGTTCATATTAGAGATTCATTGATTTTCCAGAGCGATTGTAAAATGAACCATATTCCATCTTAATGAAGTGTGGTACGTACTGCAGTATTTGGTGCATCGCGTACCTGAGACTTTAAACGTTACAATTCCTGGCAATAACATAACCGTGAGATCGAGTCACAAACCCTTCCAATTTCATTATTTATTGCCTGTCCTTATTCTCTTACCAGAATATTTCAAATAAAGGGACAAAGTAAAAAAAAGAACAGCATGAGGACGGCTCATTTTCCTACCTTTGTTGTTTTAGATATTATTTTCGTCTTTAAGGACTACAAATCTTGATCTGACTCTCTCTTTTTACACGTTGATGTTACTTTATAGCCCCAGCGAATCGCCATGTTGCAGAACGCGGCAGAAATAGAATGTGAATATTACAGAAAAGCAGCAGAGGCATTCCAGGAACTGCAGACCGCACTAACTCAAATGTGAGTCAGTCGCCATTTTGTTTTATTTCGAACTAGGTTTAAATGCTGCATGGTGTATTAATAACTTTAAACAACAGAAAATTAGCACAATACAGAAGCTAGGAGAAGAAGGCTTATTGGACGGTGATTCTCGTATTTGGACGATATAGTGGGAAAGTTTGTGCCATTATGTAAGATTTTTTAATATTTGTCAATATAGCATACCATTTTTGAAGTAGGCCCCGACTTTAAGCTCAGAAGACATAGACTCTTGATCAGCATGCCACGATTTTGGGATATTTTGATTAAGATAATACAGATCAAAACATTTTTATGGTTCGAATACTACGCAGACTGACCAGCTTTGAGGTTAGTATGGTAAACTGAAAAAATCCTCAAAAGTCAGTCGTCTGTACAACGATTCTTTTCGGTTAGTGAATCAATGGGCACTCAATTTCAAGTTCTTGGCTGTCATTCGGTGGTCCTTGTCTGCCATCTGGCGGTTTTTTTTACCGTATATTTTTTCTTGTGCTCCTTTATATATGTCTCTGTTTTAACAGTCAAATTGAAAGCAGTAGTAAACGGTAAAAAAGTTGTCTGTAGCTATCAGCACAGAAGTTTTTTTGCTCACGAGTGCATTTTCCTGTCTTCTGGCATCATATGTCTCCCAAGCCATATCTTTGGATCATGTTTCGGAAGCCTAACCGACGAGACTTTCCGAGCAATGTCGTTTAAGCGTCAGCATACCACCGCCTGACCTTAAAGAAGTTAGCAGCTGTAAACAAGCACTCTTTGTAATGTTATGATAAACTGCAAGGCAATAGTTACCTGTAGATATAGTAAAATTATAAACGGCATTTGTTCAGTGAATTCAGAAGTCCTAACGTGAAAATGGCCGATTATATGTAATTTATGATCGTCCGGACTGAAATGGCTTTCGTAGTGGTGCATCCTCTCTTATCACCCGTTGTCCCTCATTTCCAAGTTTTATGCAAAATATTTTCCGATTTACAGTTTGCCTACACGCTACTTCTCTTAAAAGGTTATAAGGCGTATCAGATAAAATCTTTCAATCTTTCCTGAGTTTCTCGACATATAAAGCGAAGGAGCTCTCATTACAAAATCATGCCTGTGTCATAAATGGGCTCCGTTATAATAAAAATTGGTCGGATCACTCAAGAGTAGGCTCGTGTTAAATGAGCCTAATTGGTTTACTTCGTACTATTTATTCTCATCATACAGATAAGGTTGGCTTTGCTGGAGTAAACGAATAGTTAGACAGCCAAGATGAAATGATCCGAAACTTGCGTTCACAGTGCGGGCAAGGCGTGAAATGGGCCGGTTCACATCGGCTGTGCCCCCTTTTTTCACATCCATATCGATTCTTTTACGGTTACTTTATGGTAGATGCTAACCCCGAGTACCCTTGATCAATGAGGGCACAGTGTAAGCAGCTAGGCCTGCTGCTTCTATTTGGTTGATTTTAAATGTAATGAGTATTTATTGACGGCAGAGCATGGTGCCGGTAAATCGGATGCTAGATTTTACCCGAACTTCTACTGCGTCCAGACAAATGTGAGTGAGTCATTCTCGGTGTTTTGTGATGTCTTTTCCGTTCCCGCTGTCTGCAGAAACCCATGAAATTTGCTGTAAAGAAAGTGTTTTTTGACTGACCATCAGCGAACATTCTTACGAAATTACCTCTCTAAAGAAACGGAGCTGTATTACCATTTCAAGGCTGCCAAACGTGACAGTCGATTCGAAGACATGGTTGTCTGACATCCATTCTCTGCATATTCAGTTCAGGAAACGCTAAGGACAGCCACAAGTTTCTAAGCCTAAGCAGAACTTCGTATTCATTTGATGAAAGTAGTGGTGATATTGTTTATCGCAAGATAGGAGGTTTTCGAAGACCTGACTGGGTTTGGACATTCGGAGGTATGATTGAATCCCGTACTGTGGTGATTCTGGATGGTATATTACCTGATTAAATAAGTTTTTCTACAGCGGTGGATTACGGCCCTGAATAGTTACTGTTATATTCGTGCAACCACTACCTGGCTCCAATAAACACATGACGCCTATTTCATCGGTAGATCATCCAGTCCAACATTTTCGCATCTGGAGTCGCAGCGTTTCAGGCTGTTCCACTTAGATGAACATTGCTGGCAAACACAAGAGAGACTGGAATGACTATTTCTGGCTCATTAGCCAACTAGTCATACCCAAACCCAGATGGTTCACCACCCGAGGCTCTAAGTCGCGACCTTTTGTTCAGAAGTCCAATGCTCTAACCCCTGAGTCACGAGCTCGTTGTCTTGCCAGTTTAGATCGGGGATATTGAAACTCGTTTATAAGCATTCACCGATCGCTAACGGAACTCACTCGTCCCGTTCTTCCTTTGGGCACTTTCTCTAGCCGCACCAACAACCGCACAGCGACTAGTAGTGCAGTTGAATGAACATGTGTTTATACGTTGCATGTTTTTTTTAGTCGACGATGGTTAATTTTCACGGCGACTATGCGGCTTAAGCCGGCTTTAGTGAGCACACAACCGCAAGTCGGTCTGTTTGTCACCTTGAAGGCTTCTAAGCAGGACGGGTGCATAGTTATGAAGAATAAATTTCTGCAAAGAAGGAGAAGGCGCAGTCATTAGAGCAGAATTTTTATCTGTCTGAGCTTTCGGCTTCGTACAGCAGGCTGTCTTCGGAGACAGTGAGCATGCAGCAAAAGTTGATCTGCTTTTTCAGTTCAAATATGAGAAAAGGCGGTGGGTAGGAAGGAAGTTGCATTCGTGGTAAATAAAATCGCACTCGACGTACTTCCGAATTTACACGAGAGCATTGCAAGTGCTGACAGATTTCAGTTTTGTCTGCTCACTATTTCGAACTCAGGTAGAATAGTTTACGTGGACAGGGTTTAGTTCACAGCCAGCTGTAAACAGTTGCTTTTAAAGGAGAAAGTTGGCAGTTCAAGAAGCATACTGTGCGCAAGGCGACCTGGATGCGCTTTTGCTACTCCAAATGTGTAGCAGACTGAGGTACATTGCCACCAGCTGCCTAGTATCGACTGATTCAGAGCGAAGATGCTCACAAAACAGGCGCTGCTACTGCTGTTGCGCATGCACTACACACACCCGCAAAAGTGCACACACAGCAAGTGGCAGGGCTTGGGTGTACCCACGGCAATAAGTGGGCTTCCCATGCCAGTGTGCGAACTCGCGCTCTAAACGACATCTACGCACTGCACCTGAATGTCAGGTCTCGCCTGATGAGTTCTTAACCTGCGTTTTGCATCTGTGACACCAGGCCCTTCTGATGTATCTAATTTAATAAAAGGCAGCATATCACAGGGAGGAAGAGAGAGCTACAGCAGTTGCAGCTATGAGAATTGTCCAGGGTATCTTCTTGTTTATGTAGACAATTTTTCAGTGTTTGATGTATTTAGTCATTTAGACTGTGTTAACACTTTATAGAAACATTTTAGGCTGCTACATTCAGCAGCAGCAGCAGCCAATGTGAGGAAACCACGCGGGCAAAGTGGCAACTCATTCAACACTGCCTGTTAGTAGTCTCTGCTTATTACACAGTTGTTTTACTGAAGCCAATGCGTTTAAACTCGCGTATTCGTACCAACCTTCATATGGAGCCAGAACATGGTTATTTCGGAGGATTTACTTTAAGCTTACGGGCGAATTTCTAAGGCAATAAAAATGCTCACCTCAGGTAATTGCTGGTTAGCGGCGATCACATTGAAACTAATCCCCTATAGAGTATAGCAAACATCTGATACATGCTCACAAAATTTATGAAAGCCAGCTAATCACTCGTGAACCGGCATTTATGCATACAGATTCCACATTTTGGCAAAATTATTGGTCGTAACACAGCTGCAGCAAGTTCACCAAATTGAGGGCTCTGTTTTGTG